TCTAGTGTCCCCCGCCGTGATATTGCTGGAATATTCCTGAAAGCTGCGTATAACCATACTCACTCACTCACTGGAACTTGCTTTTCATGAGCAATCATGTTTAATGCGCGTGCGAAAGACCATAATTATTTCACATATAAAAAATGTTTGAGGCATTAATTGTATTTTGTAATGGTTGAGTAAACTTGCAAATATAGGACTAAAAATGGGGAATGAATACTTCATTTCATAGAGATGCCTTCACTTCAGTCAATACCCGTGGGGATTCCGCGTGAGAATAAAAGTTCCCAGCAACCTATGTTAAGAGGTGACTAAATGGATCGCGCGGTCAGGCTCAGCGACTTGGTCATGTATACAAATAATCATACAAATACACTTAAATTGATATCAATCAGTCATGTTTACTGCATGGAATGCCTTAGGTTCGAATACAGAGACTACAAATTCACGTTCGGAGCTAAGTTATATAAGTTTAAATTTGAAATCTTATAAACTCCTATTTCATCAAGATGTGTTTAATTGTTAATAATTGTGTTTAATAACAGACCTTGGAGCAGGGATGATCAAGTTGTCTGAGCCGCCATAAGTCGCCGTGCAGGGTTGTGCCCCTTAGTTGTGACTGGAACCTATGCTCGAGGGTTAGAATCCTAGTTTTGTACTGATTTTGTTCCTTGGTGTGTTTGCGAGTTGTTCAGCATCATACCCATACTCGTGGGTTTTACCATGGTGGTAAACGCCTAAGACATGCATCCCTTCCAACAACAAGCTGACACGCGGTAATACACAAATAAAGTTTTCAACATTATTTCACCAAATATGTTTCGGCAAGATGGTTTATTGAGTTTACGTTATTTATTACCGATACTTGGCGGTAAGTTTTCAACTGTATAATGCTTCACATAGGAGGTATATTTGAATTAGGTAGGTATATGGAAGTATACGCATTATACAAAAAAAATTGATATTCGTCAGTTCACAATAACGCGAATCAATGATGCAAGTTCCTATTGTCTATTCAATATCCTAAAACAGACACAACCTGTGCACAGGCAAGCTGTTGAGAACAATCAGTCCCGATTAACAACTAATTCGATTTCCTCCACTACGTCCTATACTTTTATTTATACATCTGTATTTGCATATCCCATTTTTTCCTAGCAGTGTTTGGTGCAACCAGCCAGTGTCCAAAACCCTGGTGTATCATGAAACGCTCTACCGTTCAGTCCTCGTGATCTAACATTCTGACAATTCAGGGCATAACCATCATGAAAAACACAACATATGATGCCAAGACATGTTTTATTTCGGTTCCATGTCAAGAACTGTCTTATACTGGATTTTATTCGTCTGTTATAAGTCCACAAACAGGACCATCTAGCCGATATCATGAATGTACATGTCACAACCAGTAGCTCTTCCAGATCATTGTTTTCTGTCGGTATGAAATAAGAGGTCAATTAATAAAAAAAACAATGTACGTGTACATCAATCCCTCTTGACGAATTTATAAAACTAGGAGGGGGCGGCACGGGGGCACGTAGTTGCAGCAGGAAGATCGAAAGCCGTTGTCAACGAGAGTTGCATCACAAGGTTATCTGAACGGCACTGGTCTTGTAGAATGTTACTATACTTTGTTGGTTCTTGTGGCCAGTATCGGACATTTGATACCGACACCGCATCTAACCCCCGCTGTAGAATAAACAGTTATTTGTGCATCATTTATATAATTATAAGGGATGCAGAAGTGGGATGGTGTATCATGCGACAACGGACGGCCCTGTCAGATGTTCAATAACTGCTGAGCAGTCTTCAAATTTAATCGTAGGTTCTAACACCGTTATCAAGTTAGTGATGATAACTAGCTTGATAACGGTGTTAGAACCTACACCGAAACGTCGCTCCTTATTGTACTAAAGATGTTGTTCATCCATGTTTCTTGTCCTTACCTAACTTTCTTTTAGGTGAGTGACGTGTACATACAAGAGTAAATGACCCTAATAACATACTGAAATCCTGTATCGACTCTTCGGGTTTCGTAACAGTCTACGCTAACAATAAACAGCCAGGCGATATATAGTTGTAGGTGTACGTCGTAATTGTGGGACAGGCCAAGCATCATACGGCTGGTCAGAAACGCTCAACCAACAATCCTCAAACACCATGACGATTGTATGCAGATATACTGAAGACATACACGAAGAGTGTAGGTTGAGTAAATTTATATTTCTTTCTCTAGTTTCAAAATGTCTACACCAGAGAATAACCCTTCTCGATTATCTACCTAAACAGATTCCATTGGGTGCAGAAGGCAAACTAGTGGTATATGAATGGATCAGTGATGACGTGAAGAATCGCCGGGCTGTCAAACAAGTCACCGTCTGAACCACCTGATCCATTGAAGTAAGTGCCAGTAAGTACGGAGGTGTGAAAACTCTCTGCAAAGGCCGCAGTATGGGATAGCTTCGCTCACAATGTTGACAAGCAATGTGTTGTATTAAGTAAATGCTTCTGAATGTCCTCCTTAAAACCGAAGGGGAAATTCACGATGGGAAAACCGAAAGAATGCCTCTTGTCCAGCTTGGTACAGAGTTTGCAGTCAGTTTAATTCATGTACGAAAGAGTTCTTACATGCAGTTTAAGAGAATATATATCAGGATATTTTAATTCAAAGAGTAACTATATCAAAATTAACAACCAAATTCGAAGAAGCGCTAAAATATTCTGACATTATTTACATGAATGTGGGTCCGCTTTTGTGTCCACCGCCGCCATACGGTGGGGATATTGACATTACCGATAACTCAATGAATTTACTCTTGCAACTCTATAAATCAATATCAGCAACTAAGCTATACAATAGTCATTCAGAAGTGAAAACGCCAACCAAAAGGAACAGGAATAAGTATCTGTAATATTATGCTCATATTTTATTGATTGTAATATTCATAAGAGGTGTTAGCATATGTTGGCGCGCTGGTAGGTCGGACTGTAGTGTACGTATGTTCTTCTTCCATAGTTGAGGTTGTGTTGTAAACATCTGCACCATTCTTCCTTGTCTTCCGTTGATAGAAACACCTGTGAAATAAAGGTTTCCACAATAGCTATATATTCAACATCGTAAGCACAAGGATGGTCAGGTAGAGCAACGTTAACAAAATTAATCGTAATATATATAAGTTGAAACGTTTGTAAGTTGTTGCTCATACACAGAATAAAAAAAACAGAATTCAATAAATATTTATAATTTGTTGGCAACTGATATACCAAATAAAAGAAATAACAGGATTTACCTCGACATTATCCAACCCAAAACAAAGCCAACGATCAGAACAGCCACGGATACGCCTAGCGCTATGGGCACACCTGTACAAGATGATAAAAACCACCATATCATTATCTTGCAATATATTTGTCTGTTTGTTGTTTAACGCCGTACCCAGCAATATTCTAGCTATATGGCGGCCGTTGGAAAGTAATTGAGTCTGGACCAGACAATCCAATGATTGACATCATGAGCATCAACCCACACCATTGGGATACGGTGACGTGCAACATTAACCAAGTCATCGAGCCTCTTACGACAAGCATAGTCGCTTTGACGGCAAGCATGGGTTGCAGAAGACCGATTCTAATCCGTATCTTTACGGGTCTCTCAATATGACAACGATAATGGGTTATTGTTGTTGTTTGGTATAGTTGTTGGCTTTCTGGAGTCACTCTGCAGCTGTAGTGTCAGGGGAGAGTTTGAATTGTAAGACTGCCAAACCAGTGGCTTGCAAACAACCAGTCACCTGCCGTGTTCACCTGTGTTCATGAGTCGTACACATGTCGAACAAATGGACACTCGCCTTTCACGACAAGCGCAATTGACATATGATGTTACTTGAATGTCAAGCAATATCAGATGAATGATAAAATCAATAACAGTTTCTGACTCTGAATACAACTGGCAGGAATATTTAATCGAGTATATCAACTTCGTAGGTTCGTGCTTATGGACTAATGTTCTGTTTATGTCCAAGATTTATTGGTTCTGTTCAGCGTCAGAAAATTCGGATTCTCGAATTCTAAGGGGAACATACATGTAACCGCTACCGGTGTGTGTTTGCTGGAGGCATTATTGGAGGTCTGTGTAGTAGTAGTGGCAGTGGTAGCAGCAACATTAGTAGTTGTAGTTGAGGTTGTTGATGTCGTAGTAGTTGAGGCAGACGATGAAGTAGTTGATGCAGACGTTGAAGTAGTTGACGTGGTAGTTGATGCAGACGTTGAAGTAGTTGGTGTTAACGTTGAAGTAGTTGATGGAGTAGTTGATGGAGTAGTTGATGCAGACGTTGGGCAGTTCAGTGACACATCTGAAGGTATGTTGGATCCACAGACGACGGTAACATTCTCACCTGTATCCGCTACAAATTTAGAGTTCATGACATTGTGACAATACCTGGGATCATGTACAATATTCAGGCCCTCGTTCAGTAACCATGTACGTTTATATGTGCGCACCAACTGTCATTGATAGGGGTATTATTTCCTGTGATAAAAAGGTTCATGGTGGTTTTCGTCAATACTTTGGCATTCGATCGAGTTAAATGATATTTGGTCTCCAGGCTTAGATTCATAGTGGAAGAAGACGTGATACAAGTTCAACACATGACCTGTTTTCATTCATCTGACTTTAATACAACATTGAGAAAAACTGAATAATCAGACAGCTGATAACAAACCATAAAATCCTCCTATATATTGATATATGGTGTTCGAGGATTCAGAATACATGTTTTACGGGGGAAACGCTTCATTTTCCAAATATATTCCTCACTCATAATGACTAGAAACACCCACAAGTATTTTGCCACTGATGTGATAATTATTCATGGATTTGTCGCAAAGGTGTCCGAAGAAACACCTTTACAGCAGTGTACACTTATTGTAGAAGACATTTTCAAACTTTTAGCATATATCTTAGAAACAGTAAAGGTGTTTATCACTTATTTGCCTCTTACCTTTCGCTCGTATCCACAGAAATTCTTTTTCTTGACCTCCAGGATCGACTGTCATGAATATTGACATGTTAACATAGTTCGACTTGCTCTCAAACATTGCGCTGGAACAGTTTCTTGATGCAGGTTGGTTCTTACAGTCCACCCTGGTTGACACATCCCCATCAGTGAAGTCCACAACGCAGGCGGGTGACACAACTCGTGTTGCAGCAAGTTGTATTATGACATGGGAGTTACATCCATGAGAGTATGCTAGACAGTAAGCATGGGCCTCCCCGTCATGTTGGTCGTTGTACAGGTACACCTCCTGTCCTGTGTGTGTGGAATCACGTTGGATGTGCAGCACAGTGTCCTCTGAAAAGGTTGGCCAAGTCATTGAAGTTCGGTACACTTCTAACACGACCGTCGTGTACTACTTAATATTCCTTGTAAATGGGTATTCAAAGCAATATCCATTGTCCGCATGATTTAAAAAACACATCAAAGATAAAAAGGAACGGATGATGTTTCTTACACAATGTAATATATGGAACAATAGATTTATTTTCCCTCTTCCCTTTCAAGCCTGAGTGAGTGAGTGTAACGCAGCTTTAAACAGTATTTCAGTAAAATCACGGCGAGTCAGCTTAGTCAGCTAAGTCAGTGCAAATGACATACGCCAAGCAGCTGATTAGATATAGACATAGCACAAGTCGCAGTGGGGAGTGGACAGCGAGTGAGCACACGACTACCTAATAAAACACGAAGTACGAAACAAAAATCGCTTTTGCTTGTGACGGTCAGAAATATAAATATACATCAATCGGAACTGAACAATTCTGAAAGAGTCTCCCTGAAGCTCTCAGCATTCCATGGAAATGATATCCGGAGCTTCACTGGCGTCCGTAACCTCGCGAGTTCACTTTTCGATCACCAAACAGAGGACAGAGAATCGTTGTTGTTATTCTAGAGAGATTGATGACATGGTCGCCTTCAATTATATGTCTTTATTTAGCACGTATTCAACACAACGGGGAGTTAGTTAAGACCACAGGATGGAATTGGATTCAGTTAACTAGGTACGAACTCGTCAGGAAATATTCGGTTGTCAATACATATTTGCAGATCTGTTTAGACTTTCAAGACATTATGAAATGAAATGTATAACAGTATTATCATGTGAAAATATAAAATATTATAATAATTATGTTTAATCATAAAGTAATACATGTTTCTAATCGGACGTTAATCGAACGTTGGGCCAACGTTTATTTGCTGAAACTGTTGGGCCAACTTTGCTCTATTTACATTTTACATGGTTACATTTATAGCGTCCTAGAAGATATATATAGCCATGCCCCCATTTCATTCAAAGTAGCCGTGAAATGGACAAACCACTTTTTGAAAGTGGTAGTTCTTTGAAGTAGCAAATTAACAGTCTGCGTTATGACTGTCAGCAAACATCCCGACCCCGAAATAAGTGACGTGTATGACCAGTTATACTTTATTTTACTTCATTAACATGCAACAATGAAGGAATTGGCAACAAATATAGTACAAGACTTTCACTGCACTGCATGTGTTCTGCATGACGAAGTTGGTGCTGTCTCTGTCATTATTAGGTCCCCAGCAACTGATGCTGGTCATAACAGGCGGGTGGTCAGGCTCGTTGACTTAGTCCATGGCGTGTCGTCCTACCATAATGGTGTGGCTCGTGGTTCACAAATTCCAACACTGCATTGACTGTTCCAGATTTGAAAATTTACAGGCCGCCATCATATAACTGACATATTGCTGAGTGCGGCGATAAACAACAAACGAACAAACACTACGTGCATGTACAATGGGTTGAAACAACTGACAACATGCTGTACGGTCTATCATAACAAACACAACGTACAGTGGATTCCAATGACTTACTATATCACACGCTATGCGGGCTTTCATAACATGCAAGTCAAGCTCATTAGAAGTCCTGTCACGTTATATCTGACTTATATACGTAGCTTAATTTATAATGGACACTACTCACTGTGCACACATTCAAACGTGAATGTGACATAGTCTTCACCAGCAGTGTGCTGCACTTTACTACCAGATGAAGACAGCTGACATGTTGCAGCGGCCGTGCACGTGTTCACAAAGTCCAGGTAGTAGTGATCCGGGAGTTGGTTCTTCATGGCAGGGAGGCAGTAATCTGTCACTGTATCATTCTCACGCTGTTGACAGCAACGTCTGATTTCGTCTTCTCCCTTCTGTCTTAAGCTTGTTCCAGTTATTTCACTGTGACATGTGACGTCAGAGGACACCCCGAGTGTAAACATGGTAGGAAGAAGCATCTCTGTAGCGGCACACGGAGGATCGACCATCAACGGGAAGTTGTAACAGGCAGTCCTTTCTCTCAGGCCAGAGACAGCTGGACATAGAACTGTGAATGCAAATTGACTGAGACTAAAGTGTGAGTGAATTAAAACTTAAAGTCACATTGACAATATTTCAGTCATACAGTGACGAGAGAAAGATTGAGACTGAAGACTAGTCTACGGTAGTTTTGGCACATCCATCCATCGTCAACTCAGTGCCTGCTCATTAAAATGGCTTTTACGGTAGTGGGTCGTCACCTACAATAAGAGATCTAGACAGCTGAATAACATTTGTCTCATCCGATCCATACCTCGTCAACTCACTGTGCCTAGCCACATGCAGCAGAAACTGCACATACACTCTGACAACAAGGTTTGCAAAACCATATACCTTTCATGTTTATCGTTTTACGTTATGTTTATCCTAATTGAGAAAACGCAAACTTGGTACATTCATAGAATTATGAGTAGTTTGGTTGCAATTTCCGTAACTTGTACCATAGCATAATTCATTCACGGAAATGTTACTTGCAATTCGCTATTGATGACTGTAACATTCACTCATTTGTAATTGGCTATACCGTGATACTCATGGCATTAGTGCCTGCTAAAACAAATTAACTTTGCAGTGGAAAGGCCAAGGATCATAATCTTGGGATTCAAGTCCCCGACCAACACGTAAGGGTGCAGTGTCACCCCTGCCCCAACCCCTCACAGACATGGAGTTAACGAGCATGCTCTTTATGTCAATAATGGTAGTATTTGGAATATATCAACCTGTTTCTGAATAGTCCAGCTTTCTCTCGGCGGTCTGTAAATAATCAAGTGGCTATTAGCTTCATTCCACTTTGTAGGGGTACGATGACACGCAAACAAACAAACCACCAATCCTCACCACCGTTACATCCCCGTCGCCTCTTACAGCACGCAGTGAGTCCTAGGGACGGACCCAGGTCCCCACGTGTACATCCTGACTAATGTAATAATGAAATGTTTTAGATAGTTTATTTAGTATATGCAGGGGATATTGATAAATATCGATTTTACGAATTTCAAATAACTATCTGATATCAACTTTCAATTGATTATCTATTATGGTATTCCAATTTTTTTAAATATCCATAATTATAGTGTGAAACTCACCAAGTCTTTCGAGGGGTTAAGTTGTTTTTTACACAGTTTCGACATCTTCTAACCTAAATATATATAGTTTGAGCCAAATACGGAAAAATGCTTGTAAATGAATCGCATCTTGAATATATATCTCAATAATCATGTAAGTACAGAACTGGATGAGAGCTCCTATCGAAGACATGAAAAACTAAAATTGTTGTGATTTATCAGCTGCCCTTCCCTGTTAAGCCAGAACATAGCTAAGGACATTGTCCGGTGATCCCAGCTCCCATGAGATCAAGGTGTATGTATGTCAGTCGTGCAGAAACCAAAGTCACGGTCGATTTCTATCAGGAATCTATGTCCGGAGTAGGCTATTGCAGTTGCTGGCTATTTGGGCGATACACATACCATGCAGTGCCACGTTACCTGTAGATTAGAAGGTGCTACTGCATTTGGATCAGAACGCACATTCTATCATGTCACAGATGTTAAATTTACTTTGGTTGAGTCCAATGCTTTGACCCGGCTGTCGATTTGAATTATGTAAACACCGAAAATAATCTTAAAATATAGTATGAATCTGTATTAGCTACTCAAACACGTTTCTTTTTACAGCAATGTACTTCACTCGCGTCACCTTATGCACTTCACAGATTAATACCACAACGTAATCGAAGCTTTTTTAATGAATATGTTGCCTATCTTACCAGACATCTCTGATTCGTATACAGGTAAATGGCATCGGTAAAGGACATAGAAGATGCATTTTGCAAACTATGTTATTTACCATCTATTGCATTGTATCATTGTATCTCCAAATACCAACCATTTCCTACCAAAAATTACATTATATCCCAGAAACTCCAACTGGGCAAGCCTTTATATATTTCATTCGGTTGTTAAAATATCTTCCTATGTTTAATATCGAGTGTTCTATCTACAAGTTCAATCTACATTTAGCTATACATAAGACTGTCATCTTATTGAGGATAAACGTGATAAATGTAACATTTTGATAAACTCAACCAATCATCTCAACGTTTAGAGCACTGAATTCGTACACAATAGATTCCATGATTCCTTCATAAACATTACCACAAGATACCTTGAAGTATAATCCATGTCACGAGTAAGAGGGATCCTCGCCACTTCCTCCACATGTTGGTGTGGTCTAGGTCTGGAGAAACACCCATTCAGATGCTCGGTATCAGGGTCTATACGTTCATAAAAACATTGATATTGATCACACCGCTAAAAAATAACCACAAATATCGAGAGTGACAACGCCTAAGTTTATAATTTAGTTGCATGATACACTGGCTCTGTTCTGTAGAGTACACAAGTTTATGGAGTATGATAATTATAGTATCAACTTTGTTCCAGATTTTCAATAGCTGCTTGAATTTTGTTTTATCAAAAAAATTTAAACGTGTATCTGGATTTCACATTCTATTATATGTCACGTGCGGGTCTAGATTACACATGAACACTCGGAAATGTCGAATGAGTCACATGGTAAGAAATAAATAAACTATTTTCCGGTAAAAAACAAATTGTAAATGCAAGAACAACCAGTCTAAATTACCTTTAGAAATAGATTCCATTTTGAGTAAAGAGCAAAATTGATGTGAAAACTATAAGGATGGACTTCTAAAAATCAGTCATGACCCCATATCGCAAAACATAATGCAAAAGAACATGAAACAAACATATTCACTGACGCATACATGTACCCGTGTGCTCGTACGGATGAAATGCAAAATAGACATATATTCGAAAGCAACAGTTCATCAGGAATGGCAGTAAAGTTACTTATTAATAGATACCAACTCGTCACCATAATTTCAGACATTTTCATAAAGTAGCGAAAAAGTTGTTTCACACACTGTCATGTAATTGTCGGTGCTTCAATGCCTGTTGTTACAATGGGGTCGAGGAACACAGGGGTAGTCTCAAAACGTTTATTCTGAAATATTTTCATTGTCACTGTCAACTGAAATAATAATGTGACCGACAATTGCATGATCTTAACCATCTCTTTTACAATATGAAGCTTGATTTCCGGCCCCAACTTTGTCAGCGCATCCCCTCGGATTTGCAATAATCATAAACGTCCAATACCAAGGTTTTCAGATCATCTGTGAATTTCATCATGTACCGCATTGTAATGAAAAATTGAGCTCGTTCTGTTTATTGTATTATTTGCATTTGGAATTAGCTGAATAGTAATACCAAGAACATCACTAACATTGCTTTAAGAAGAGTTTACAGATTCTCATTGTATATTCCGTTTAATAACTACTACATACTACGCTTCTGATTTAGACTTTTCCATTGAAAGATATTATAGAAAACACTGTAGTAGGTTGATCTGATACTCGAGATATCAGTGCAGACCCCCTTGTAACAACAGGCATTAAAACACCAAGAATTAAATGAGTGTTGTTTAAACATCTTTTGCTACCCTTCATGACTGTCTCAAATTATGGATACTGGTTGGTGTGGACAAATAAAAAACTTTCATGCCATATAAGGCAAAGTGTTGCTGTCGGATTAATATCTGTTTTGCATTCATCGGTTCGATATGGCAGTAAACGGTCTTAAGTGTGTATCCGATGTTATTCGCAAGGAATCCGGTGGATTGATAACACCTTATCCGGGGGGTGTTCTGAGCCTCACACAGAACGACTTGACCTACTGATATTAAAATTTATATATTAAAATGTTTTATCGGAGCCAGATCTCTCTCTCTTTCTCTCTCTCTCTCTCTCTCTCTCTCTCTCTCTCTCTCTCTCTCTCTCTCTCTCTCTCTTTCTCTCTCTCTCTCTCTCAAGCTGAATTGTGAATATACCGCTATGGTATCATGCAAAGTACATTCATTCTTTTTGAGGCTCAGAACTTATCAAACCTTATAAGTTTAGTTTAGTTTCTGATGTTATCCACCAGGAATTCAGCAAATGGAAACCACCCTTTTGGGACCTGTACATGAAACCATGTGAAGGTGTATCTGAGGGTTAACATAGACCGAAGACGGCTCCAATGTATGTCGATATCCAACGTACCTCACTACCAACACCCTGCATCACTTGGTAGTTCACGTGGTACGTTGTAATCATTGTTTTACAGTGTCATCTTAATGTAACAACCTGTCCTACCTCTGATAGACCGCCTCCGTGGTCTAGTGGTAGAGCGTCCGCCCGGAGAGCGGAAGGTCCAGGGTTCGATCCCCGACCGCGTCATACCAAAAGACGTTAAAAGATGGTACTTGTTCTTACCATGTCTGGCGCTCAGCATTAAGGGGCGAAAACAAGGACTGGTCGGCTCGGAGTCAGTGTACTGTGCCCTGAGTATGATATTCATGTTAAACTGCGTCATGGTATCTCAGTGAGCTAGCACTATAAATCGGCATCAGTCCGGACTAGTACAAGCAGCCACACAAACACACACACGTACATGCACGTCGCTATATAATCGCAATAATCTTCGACGCGACGTTAAACCCTATTTCACCTCACCTTCAGCTCCCACCTCTGATTGTATTGCCTGATGATCCAACTGCATCCAACTTCACATCAAACAGCTGACACACAATTAAATCCATGCAAGTAACGGGATGACTTCCTTGTTATAAGCGCGGACGCATAGTTACACAGGTATCTATTATCTTATCAGTTTTAAACTGTGTCATGTGTAATACTCGTCAACGGCTGTTTCATGACTGTGTTGGGAGTGTGGGTGGCAGAGTTGCCTCCCTTTCATGTGGGTGCTGAATAACAATGTAAATTTAATATCAACTGCCAATATTTGTCTATACAAAACACTAATACATATGTTTTAATAATCATCAACAGGCATTGCTACACTCGTGTCCTTCATCCGCATATTTATATTTAATTTTGTTGAATATTCCAGATATTAGAAATTACGGAAACACACTCGAGTAATAGTATTTTTTTTAACCGACAGGCATGTACATGTTTAAGTGGTTTTTTTCGAGTTACGTATCATTTGAATATTTGTACCAGAAACCTCATCAAAAACTGAAACATTGTTTATGAGAATGCTTTTCTCAATAAGACGTAATCATACTATTTTGACTCAGGCAACTAAGTTATTTTACAAGTGGTGTCAAGGATCATGTGTTTATGCATTATACATGTATTACGAGTAACATTTCCAATAATCTAATTCAAAGAAGTTTGGAAGAAGGAGAAAGTGTTAAATACTCAACATGGAATCATTCAGGAACACCTGTGTCAATCCTTCACCTTACCTGTGTCAGTCCTTCACCTTTCCTGTGTCAATCCTTCACCTTTCCTGTGTCAATCCTTCACCTTTCCTGTGTCAATCCTTCACCTAGCCTGTGTCAATCCTTCACCTAGCCTGTGTCAATCCTTCGCCTTACCTGTGTCAATCCTTCACCTTACCTGTGTCAATCCTTCACCTTACCTGTGTCAATCCTTCACCTTACCTGTGTCAGTCCTTCATCTTACCTGTGTCAATCCTTCACCTTACCTGTGTCAATCCTTCACCTTACCTGTGTCAGTCCTTCACCTTACCTGTGTCAGTCCTTCACCTTACCTGTGTCAATCCTTCACCTTACCTGTGTCAGTCCTTCACCTTACCTGTGTCAGTCCTTCACCTTACCTGTGTCAATCCTTCACCTTACCTGTGTCAACCCTTCACCTTACCTGTGTCAATCCTTCACCTAACCTGTGTCAGTCCTTCACCTTACCTGTGTCAATCCTTCACCTTACCTGTGTCAATCCTTCACCTTACCTGTGTCAATCCTTCACCTTACCTGTGTCAACCCTTCACCTTACCTGTGTCAATCCTTCACCTTACCTGTGTCAATCCTTCACCTTACCTGTGTCATTCCCTCACCTTACCTGTGTCAATCCTTCACCTTACCTGTGTCAGTCATTCACCTTACCTGTGTCAATCCTTCATCTTACCTGTGTCAGTCCTTAACCTTACCTGTGTCAGTCATACACCTTACCTGTGTCAATCCTTCACCTTACCTGTGTCAATCCTTCACCTCACCTGTGTCAATCCTTCACCTTACCTGTGTCAGTCCTTCACCTTACCTGTGTCAATCCTTCACCTTACCTGTGTCAATCCTTCACCTTACCTGTGTCAATCCTTCACCTTACCTGTGTCTATAACATCGTGTGTTTTAAATATATACCCCTTTAACTAGTATTCACGAATATTACAGTCGGTGTTACCTTCATCAAGACGAACTGCTTCTCTGTGATATACAGTTGAAAGATTATAATGCAACCTGTGTGGACATAATTAGTCTTTGGGCTGAATAGCATATTGTTTCGTTGAAAAGAGCAGTATGTGCAAAGTCAGTATGTTCAAGTGTCAACGACACACACGTCAGCCCAAGCATCGCAGGGAGTTCCATTGGCGGCACAGGCCTCTACTGTCGCAGTCCCGTCTGTATAGCCTCGTGGGCCAGGTAGAGTTTCTCGTCAGACAGGGAGGAGTTGGACTTAGACATGGACGTGTCTTTTTATGTAGAACGAGGTCAGTAAGTGTAACACCATTACCTGACGAAGAATCTATATGTGTGTATGCATACATACGAGAAAGTAAATACATATGGAGTATATGTAACATCAATGAGAGGACAATGAGAATTTATATCAACGTACTGTATGTAAAAGATGCTTTAACAATTTATGTAAAGGAATATGTTTATTAACTGATCATGTTTAGTCTCATTTACATGTAATACATAAGAACAAATTTCAATTTTGAATTTTAAAATCCATGCAATGATTAAGTACAGCAGTATGGTGATACTACATAGAATTTAGCTTCTAGAAAGAGAACAAATAATACGCTATTGTGTACTAGCTTAGATCAAAAGAGGTATGGTATGCAGATGTACAGATTGCCAGACACACAATTGTATTTTAGGGACAACTGTTACCAATATGATGGTCCTAGGTTCTTGGTATACAATTCACTGTAATGACCAAAACGTGCTCCGTCATAGAAGGACGACAAAATCTGCGTTGGTTATCCTTGCTGTTCAATTAACAACATTCGCCATTCCGGGTCCTGTCACGAAGTGGTCTTTGGCGTCCTCCCGCAGCATCTCTGAGACAACTGGCATCACTGTAATCACGCTGCTAAATTGTTGTTCAGAAATAATGCAAATAATGTTAGTATCAACTATAAAATTCCAGTTTCAACACTAGCCGAACGAGGCTGGAATTACATAGTTATATTTTGGGTGGTCTGAGGAATCTATGCATTGTCCACTCAAAATCGTGTTACAAAGTCAATCGTAAATTGACATGCAGATTTCAGGCCATTGCAGAATTTGCAATGCATGTGTACCATCACCTCAGCATCAACAGATATTAAAAAAATATTTCATGTTTTTAAACAAGTAAGTCTAATGATTTGATACACTACGTGAAGTAAGACCCGTTTCATTATAATATAGATCTTGATTGTAGATCAGATCTTCTAGACAAGGCGGCGCCATTTTGTTTGAAGCTAATGCAAGTGATATCAGAGTGGAATCTGATTGGTCAGTAGGAGAGAGGCAGAAGGGACATAACTCGTAATAGCCGCTGGTGGCGCTACGATTGAACCCAAAAATTCAGGCGTAGTTCGGCAAGGGTGGAAACTGGGCTGTTACAGTCAGTTAACTCTCTTGCCTGGGGAAGATGCCCTAGTAATGACACATGAGTTTCACTGCTTTGCACAATAATCAAATCTCATGCAAATGATTTAAACGTTTTGATATCGTGGTATCTTATTCTAATATTAGGGCTATTCAACATTCTCCAAATATTTCCACAGTCATAAACAATCTCTACTCGCTCGCTATTTTTCATTTGCATTTCATAACCGGAGTCGCCAAAGCGCAAGACGTATGTACCAAAGGCACAAGCAACATATTTCAACCATGGGAAGCTTTCAGTAAATGAATAAATAATATATACCCCAGCAATGTAAGAATTGGCAGAATGATATTCCTAATCTAATAATCGTTCACACCGAATGAGTGTCTGCTGACTATATTAACAATAGAGTAAGATCTGATAGTTGCATTTAGTTGTCTTCCTTGAACGTCGAATTGAGTCGAACACAGTGTTATCCAAAGAAATCGCTAAAAGGTTATTGCATTCGTACATGTTATTAAGTCAGTGCGCGATGTTGTCATTCATTAGAATGCACAAACTTAAAAAGAGGAAACGGAATTGGAATAAACCAATTCTGTCCCAGCCAGATGTTATCCTAAGTCTGGCTGCCCAACATGAAAGGTTTGTAGTTGTTCCCACTGACAAGGCCTCAAATGGCATAACTGTTATATGTAAGCATCACATATATGTGATATAAATGTTATAATATAAATGGTATATTGGTATAAATGTTATATCAAATAATGCCACATATGTTAACTGAGGAAGAAATCTCCAAAAAACATAAATCAGTACTGTCAACTTTTGACTTTTGAGCGAGACATGTCCATTCTTCTGTTGTACTGGATTCAAAAGCTCCATACAAATCCTTACAAAGAGAGACATATTGCTGAGTCCAGTAAATGTACCATCAAATCCTTGTCTCAAAGACAAGATACAATCCTTGATACCATCACGGAAGGACTTTCTTTTTATTCACAGAAAAGATTTAATAACACCATTTTGCCTAATGAAGGTGTTAGCATATACTTCGAAGCGCTGTGTTTCCTCATAATAAAGAAGTTGATATCCATAAATTCTCTTCCTTATGTATTTTTGTACATTCGGGGCTGATTGATTGATAAGAACAGGCCTTAATGGTAACAACCTTGTGGTTACAGTACAATATTTATGCTTTTAGCAGAGATTTCTTATGACTATGGACTGGGTTGTGTTGCTGTTATGTATATAGGAACAGAGTATTGCAATAGTGAAGTATAAGTCAGATATAAGTACAAGATTGTGTTTGTTTCTGTAGATTACTGATTTTGTTTTGGTCACTACCTTTGATAAGTTCAACTTCATACTCCGGGTGTGGGCAAATACTCTTGTCGGCTATATGACGACAATGTCATCAGACACCCCCCTCTCCATCAACAACGTATCATCATGGACGAGGGGTTTATTATTCGATTCTTCCACATGACAACGATTGCTGGGATGTTGGGATGACAAGAAGAAACACTGTAGGTTATTAATTTTATTGACTGTGCATTACCCCCGCACTTTGTGTATGTACGAACAGCATAGTTAATGGAAATAATATGAACATAGAATTATCCAGCTCATAAATAGCAAAGTTTGGGAAATGTGCAAAAATGTTTCACTCAAAAATCAATCAACACAAGCAATAGGCAACTATATAAACTGATCTGTTACTGCAGAATGAACAACACACGTGGACAGAAAAAAAGATAAATACCCGCTTGAGGTATAACCTATAAGATTTTTAACAAGTGAGAACATACTTGAGAACACACCTTTAATAGCAATTCTACCATGAATTTGGAAATTACTCGATTCTGATCAGTGAATCAGATAACAATAGACCCGATCTGATTAAAACAGCTGCTTTGACGGCCGCATCACCGCGGAAGCGAATATTCATAGAAAAGAACTTTTTTCAATCATTGTCGGTAGGCGTATCTAATTAACTATGCCTACAATTAAAGGTTACACATTGCAACGTTACCGTTACTACAAAATTCAAAGGATGTGTGACAATACATTTCGTGCAGAAAAAACGATAGAAATCAACAAAGAGAGTGTATTTCAAGTTTTGGGGACAACAGAGAGCTTGGAATTTGGCGCTTTTCTATATACGACTGTGACGTCATATCTTTTGCGTCACAATGAGCGATATGACGTCATAATAGTGACGTTCGATGAAGAACGAAAGCTTTGCAAAGTTTGCTTATTTTTTTCAGGGGTGCCGACCTCACGTTGGCTTTCCAAATTGCGGTCCTTATATGCAGTCAATGCCTGTCACATGTTCGAGTAAAGTATTACGATGTAAACAAACTGCCTGAACATATACAGCGCCATATTTTGTTAAAGACTGTTGTCGATGAATCGGTAATTCACATCGACAACCCACTCAGAACATTGGACTCAACCTACATGTATGTCGCTTCAGTCAAAATATTTGCTGGTTCACAATCAATTTAGTCAGGAGTGTTTATCTCCTAATTAAATAATACATGCGAAAGAATTACATATGTTGATTGTAGCGATGCTTTTAAGCACAAAAGCATCGCATTATGTGGAGATCAAGTGAGAACATATTTTCTAATTCGTCATATGTAATTTAAAAATGCATGACAATACGCCCATGTGTAGATGCACATGATACAGGGTTTCATAGAATAATGCAAAACTTCACCTTTTAAAGCATACAAACGCGATCAATTTCTTATAGCATAGTTTACAGCTACATGCATTCACATAATGATGTCCTAAAACAGATGACCTTCACATGTCGAGTTACTTCTTCTGAACCTTTGCGTACATGGCATCAAGGTCCTCATCCTGCCCTGGGTTATCACCATCAGAGTACTGCCCGGATGTTCCACGAGCAGGCTTCCTGGGTTTGTCTACTTTAGTATACACATCCGTCACCTGATCAGTGCCCTGTGCTTTGTTCACCTTGGCATAGAGATCTGAAACGCTACCATCGCTTTTCTCTTCTGAATTTCCCCCAATTGACCCTGTGTTGAAAACTTTGTCGTCAAAATAGTCTAGGTGTCCTTGCGTCACCCAGGAGGTTTTGTCCAGACTGAGGCCTGAATGTGCTGGCCGTGATCGCGTGAAGCCACAAGGTGACTCCGTGTCGGGTTCATAGCCCTCGTTAACGTCACCGCTAGTCTTCCTATGCAATTGCTCCAGCTTATAGTCATCAGTTCCTTCATAGATTGGGTTAGGCACGTATCCATCACTTACAGAGTTCTGGGCACCGTCTGACTCGTTCCCATCCTCGTGGTTTTCTTCCATGTATCCACGTGTTGGATTTGTTTTCTCTGAACTGTTTCTAGAAAATATAAATTCAGTAGTTATAATGAGGGCTTTATATATGGAATAAATATTTTGCTTTGCTTGTTATATAAGCACGTATGCATAGGCTTAATTTTAGAATACTTCTTGAACTGATTGATATATCATTTAACTATATACCGATCCATATACCATTATTGCACCATGATCGTATTCAGGCACCAGGAAGACCAAATGATAGAGGGTTCATTGCCCCAAGGACAGTTTTATGTCGAAAATGAGAAACACAACTACGACACATTCGATTTCAACGTATTATTTGTCTTTGAAAGGCATTTAGAAGTGATACACATAAGGAAGAGAATGTATGGATGTCCCTACTTTATTATGAGGAACACAACGTTTAGGAGTATATGCTTATTCCTTCATCCGGTGAAAGGATGTAGCAAATACCTTTCACCTGATGAAGGAGTATGCATTTTGTCCTCAATGTTGTGTTCCTTATAATAGCGAAGTTGAGATCCATAAACTATCTTCCTTAAATTATTTTATATCATGTTTTTTAACGGAAGTAAAGGAAATTAGAAGAGTTTTCACTGATTTATCTATTCTCTGTAGCCATGCATGATCATTTTATCAACGATAAATGAAAGATCAATCACAAATAAACTCCTGAATTGAGATGCAATGTATATTTAAGTTCACAACAATTCTCTCTTGACTAATTCCATACAAAGTAAATGTTCTTTTAGAAAATGTATGGGTATGTTATTCCCTGATATGGTGATACTAATTGTAAAATGTTTACCTTTTCTTTCGTCGTACGCAGACTGTGATGGTCACTATGATTGCTATCATGATGACTCCTCCCACACTGCTGCCGATGATAACCATCTCTGTTAACATATGCCATAGTATTAGATACATACAGTTTTACATTATAATGTGTGTCATTGTGAGTCACCGATCATTGTGTCAGACTTTGTGTGATTCTTTTTCATCCACCTTGCATTTAGCTGGAGTAGTGAAGACATACCTTCAATATTGAAACCTGTGCCGAAGGGGCTTGCTTGATCAATGTATCGTCATATATGATACGATGTGACGTTATTCTATTGTGACGTCATTAAACTATATAAATTATACGATGTAACGTTATTCTATTGTGACGTCATTAAACATCTCGCAAGAAAGGCGCAACACCTAGCAAAAGTAAATATCAAATGTATTTCTTAATTTGATTTAATTATTCGCGGCCTGCCTAGTTGATGCAATTGTACAACATCTATAACGAATTAGCCTAATTGTTTTTACGTGAGTTCATTAACTCAAAATGGAAGCATGACAAAATACCATTCCTTTAATCAAATGGTAGAGCAAGAGATCTGTCAATAACCACAGATTTCGGTGTGCCTTTAAGGGAGTGATCACGAAGTGAAAAGAAGTATATCTTTATAAAGAATCACTGGTGTCAGATTTGACATGTTAACCCGAAGTCAACGCATATGTCAATTAGTGATCGGGAAAGTACTATTTTATTATTTCCACCACTTTGAGCATGCATTATCATTTCTATTGTTATCTCCTGAGATGCTGTTTGATCTCACACAAGGGACATCACCTATGGGCGCCAGTATTGAATATTTCATCAGCTTCACATCAAACTTCAAACTTTGAGTACCTTTGCTTGGTGTTGAAGGAAGAGTTTCTGTTGTTGCAGCTGGAGCCGATATGTTATTATCCATTGGTGAAGTGGTGTCTGACAACACGATAGATATATTATCTTGAGAGTATTTAACAAGCGATGAACACAAGTGGGTGTGTAACTATTGATTATCACTGCAGTAAGCAATATTCAGGCAAGATAAAATAAAATCCTGACCTGACAAACATGTGAAAGAAAATATGACCACCAATAAACGTCAGCATGACATGCAACCAGCCAAGTCGCACCTGCTGATCGCACGTGGTCGCCTCATACAACAACCAACCGGGTGCCATGAAACCTTTCTCTTCGGATTCCCACGAGGTTTTGTTTGTTTAACGCCGCACTCAGAAATATTCCTGCTATATGACGGCGGTATGTACATAAAATATATATTGTCCACACGTGATTCGTACATTAAAGAAAGTATACACTTCAAAAATTGGATTTGAAGAAAATTACAAACGCTGTCAAAACGTTACTGGGCTGAAAACAGTCACCGAAACACTGCACATTTAAGGTCCAAATCACAACTATGACACCCGTATCAAATATATCACCATCTGGCAATTAATGTCAATCACCACTCGCCTTTCTTGCTTATACGTAATCCTATATGAAATTACCGAGAACAACAATTACAATTCATTGCATAATCTACAATTCATATTTACATTTTGATGCAAAATCATACATTGACGGTTTCTAGTGGAAAGTGACCTATTATTAATAATAATAATAATAATTGTATCTCAAATAAATATTGCCTATGTTCAGGGTTACAAAGTTCGGATGTGGACTGTGAGCAATAAGGCACTTGTCGGAACGTGTCAAGCTTCGATCTAAAGTATGAAGTACATGTTATGTGATATCAATGTGTTGATGCCACATGTCTACACGTGTACAGCTGACAACCAACCAGTGGTAACCATGTGCACGTGGGGAAACGAACATTTAAACTTGACCTGCAAATATGTTGGAATGTATTACACATACATAAAAGCGACAATAGCATTTCCTTTATCCTAACAAATATTTCCCTAAAATAGCGTCCATTATACGTTTCCGACTATATCACAAGCATGTGTTTATGAATCACTATCACAATGTTATGACATCAGGTGTTAGCTAAAAGGTGAGCGAACCTCGTGAAAAGAGAGAATTTCTAAGTCTATATACTGTGTGTACCTGACGTCGTTTCTGTGACTCCACTCTGCTGAGGGAGTGTTGTGGGAGAGTTTGGATCGGAATGGCGGGGAGTGATGACGAAGGAAAAGCCATTCACACTCGATAGCGATAGCGTGGTAGAGGCATTGCTGTATATCGTTGTCCTTGCTGACGTTGTTATTGAAGGTTGTTCTTGTGGCTTACCAGGTGATGATGTCACCGCTACCTGTGCATGGTTGCTGGGGGCACTATTGGACGTCACTGTTTGTGTAGTAGTAGTGGCAGTGGTAGCAGCAGTAGTTGTAGTTGAAGTAGTTGATGTCGTTGTTGATGCAGACGTTGGGCAGTTCAGTGACACATCTGCAGGAATGTTGGCTCCACAGACGACGGTAACATTCTTACCTGTATCCGCTACAAATAAATGATTATTGAACATCACACATACCCATGCATATTCGCACCAGTTCATGAAATAGATCAGACAGACAGTGTTTACACTAACACACGTAGAATCGCCACCAGCGTCAGTTTATGTACTTTTATTAATTTCAAATTATGTACTGGCTACCACGCCATATATTATTTTGTTGAACACTACATGCTTTGTAGGTTAGTATCGATGTGGTTGGTAAATATGAAAGAGGTTATTGATACTGCAGACAATTGAATAATACACGTGCATGTGCATTCACCATGTGCACTTGTTTGTGTGTTCTGCCATGACAGTTCTGTATTCGCTCGACCATCATCATGTTGACAACCGAATCACCGAAACATCTACCTCAAATGACTTCTTTCGACTTCTTCAGCCCTAACGGTAGAATATTTCATGCAAAAACACTAAACATTGTGTTATACAGCGGATCCTAAGTTTTTGAAAGGGACAAGACGACAAACGACTGAAAAGTTTGAAACATTGTAATCATTTTGTGTTGCTATAAACGTCCTGCCCTGAGATGCTTTTACTTCCTGACTCTAGAACATTATGACGTCATAATAGTGGCGAGTACTTTAACACTCCACACTGCTAGGGTCGATTCACTGCTCTGGGAGGTGGTTAAATTAGAAGATTCATCTCGAGACCCGAAAGCGTTAGCTTGAGGGGCTCGAATGAAAATTTCCAAGATGCGAATACTCGATAAAATCCCGGAAATAGACACACACATAGTATTTATCGATATTGTAAACCTATTGTTTTATTTAGAAAAAAACATGAGCACTCTTTAACACCTCGTACTTTCTCGGTTGTGATGCGTCAACATCGAACGTTCTGTTGCTGCTATGGTGATTGTGATTTTGGTAATTAACGTACACCGGTAATGAGACGCAAATACCATCACGTATATTTCAGCTGCGATACCTACATCCTTGAATTCCTCATACATTTTAGAATCAAATGCCAAATGGTCTTTGTCACCAATACAAATTGTCTAAATGCAAAATAAATGAGGTGTGAAAACGGACGCTGAAAAAACTGCACTTGTTGGAAATGTAAACAAAGCCATTCGTCGAGATCTGCATTTTCAGAATGCATTTTCAGAATATACACAGGAAGAGAATCGTAGGAAGAATTAGGGAATTAAACATACATGTATATGCATTGCAATAATTTGATATTTTCAACAGAACTTGTCGAAGTTCCCGTCCTGTGTGACGCCATGACTGACGCAAAATCACGCACAACGGCAACGGTATTTATCAGAATTTCTTACTATTTACGTTGGTTTCAATGAAAAATACAACAACAAAAAACAGTACACAGATTGTCAGAATGTTTCTGATTACTTACATGTCACATTTATGTATATACCATCCCTGAATCAACGAAACTGCCCTCGTAAAATCCCGCGCACTGTTGACAGTCAACACGCCATTTTGAAAATGGTAGTGATGTCAAACTTCAACATATTTGTTGTACATATTTGGTAATTTCTCTGAGGTGAAGGTCCTTAAATGAAAGTACACACGATCATTGTTAACTGCTTTTTACTGTTTCATGATGTAGACCTTGCATATCTTTTGTACATTTTTTTCACACAACTAATTTCACTTTGGATATTAATTTTAATTAAAAATTTAAAATCCCAATAATTCCCATGAATAGAGAAAAATCAAAATATTTGTTATGAATGTTAATTTTGTATTTCAATTTGCGTCTATTGTTA